GCGAGAGACATTCTAGCAGGGGTATCTTCGAAGCAGTTGGTAGCGGTGTAGTTGCGAATCAGTTTGTTATATTTGACGATGTGCCACTGTTTTGGGATGCATGGGATGTGATGGATTATCATTTAGAAACGCGACAGTTAATCACAGCGGTGAGATATGCTTAGAGATATCAATCATTTTTTGATGTTTATCTCTCGGAAACTAGCGGCCGCGTGATCTCAAGCATGAGAAATACTCAACTTTACCAAAAAATCAGAAACGAGTGCATTTTGCGGCGAGCTACCACTCTCATCCTCTCCCAACATGTAAATGAATTCATTTGCATATTTGGTTTTTTTGACGAACGACCGTTGTAGCAGCATCCTCATTACTGGTGCATCTGAAATCTGATATTTTTAAAAGCAGAGCTGTGAATTAACTCGTGCAATAACTTTGTAGTGCGAGTATTTGATCATAGAAAAAGGCTTGGTGATAATTATATGAAATATATTTTATTCGTGTTTTTTTCTTTATTTTCCCATGTCACAGTACAGTCTTTGCAGGAGCCAAAAGCAACTTTGCTCAAAAATTCGCCACTGGAAAGTCGCATTCGTGTGGATTTTGAAATAAGCGAACAAAGCTCTTTGGTGCAGTATATCACGTTGTTCGCGCATCTGCCGTATCTCTGTTTCGACGTTATAGTGGAATGGCATGAATCGCATAAATTTTTAAAAGTTAGTTAAATGGCATTATTTAGAGATTCAGTTGAAATTCACCAATGATTTAACATTCCGTTTTTTAACGCCGTTTTGCCTCCTTATGGCCTATAGAAAACAAACGTCCCATCAGTTGAACGACGTGTTTGATAATAAAACGGCTCAAGAAAAAAATAAATTAAATCGACTGAACAACTCCATGCATGCTTACTTTACCAGCAGTCGATGGGTGCCCTTTATAATTGCTTTGATAATGTGGAAAACCGATTCTGAGATATGGTGCCTGTATATGGTTTAGGAGAGGGGTACAGACCGGCAGGCGTAGAACAGAAAAATAGCTTGGCTATCTTCGACATGTGGATGCATTTTAGTAACAGCTAGAGCTGTACAGCACCAATTCAAGCGATTCTAATTTGCTATGTTTGTCTCTTACATTTTCACTTATAAGTGGTAATTCTTTTTTTTTGCAGTAAAAGTTCTAATCATTATTCATTTCTATTTCACTGAGAATTAAATGATTTTCAATTTAATTCCCGGAATTGTATTTTTTGCGAAATAACGCAACGTTCTCCCCTGCTTATCTTGAAAATTGTTCTGATAAATGAATTTTTGCTTGTCCTTCAAAATATCTATTCATTCTAGTTCGTTATTTAGTTGGTCAGTTTATGTGTTTTGATGAAAACCGTATATGACATATAATACGTTGCAGGTTGAATTTCCGGTGAATATTGTTAGCAGCGAAGCTTCATACGAAGTACAATTTGGGCATGTGAAAAGGCCAACACATAAAAATACCTCTTGGGATGCAGCAAAGTTGGTATATTTTTTATCTAATTTTTATCTTAGTTAATAACAAAGAACCATATGCTCGCCATTTCATATGATTGCACGCACATTTCCTCGTATAACTCGTTGCATTTTAAAAAAAATTATTGCGTATTGCTTCTAAAACCAACTTCTGCAGATGTTTGTGAAAGAACTTGGGTATGATCCTAACACATCTTGCATTTGTTTTTGAAGTAGCGGAGAGACGCAGGGCAATAAGCATTGGCGGATCCAGATGAGTGGTGGGACAAGGAGTCTTTCGCCTCCCCCTCCCCCGTCCTTCCCCGTCTCTCTCCCCCTCTCCCCTCTCCAGAGGTTCAGGTAATATTTGTTTTACTGTAGAAAATCCTGTTCGATGCTCCCTGTCGTCCTCTCCCTCTCCGGTCTTCGCCGCAGTTCAGGGTCGATTAGCAAAGGGGGAGAGTAGCGGAGCGTCCAACACAGCGGCGATCGGGGGATGGTGTACCGGGACGACCGTGAGAGGGGGGAGGGGTAGGGAAGGTGGGGCTGCCGATGTAGTGACGAACGATGAGGAGGGAAAAAAAATCCCCCTATGCCCAGGGGATCGCTCTCGATTCGCCTATGGCAGCTTGTAAGATGATCACCAGATGATTTAATTTCGATCACAACTATGGGAAACTGTGGCACGCTGTGGTGCCCTAACATGATGGAATCAAGAAGTTCATTTGAA